ATATATATATATTCATGTATATGTATATGTGTAATTATATGCTATACATATAGTTACATACTAATTATACATATAAACACTTGTTCAGCATTATTATACATGATAAGCAGACGCAGATCAGCCCCTTCCTAAATCTCGCACGGTCTCGCCCGATCTTCCCACAAAGAGCTCAGCAACCAGGCCCAACAAACATGACATGATCCGGAGCCTTCCAGCAATACTTCGAAGACGAAGGACCTCGCTAAGAAGCTTGCGCAACAAGTAAGACTGTGTAGCAATGCACAGTAGGGTTTATGGTTTAGGGTTTAGGGTTTAGTTAGGACTGTTACTGTCGGAAACAGGTATGCGCTCGGCATCTACATGCTGAACCTCTTCATCAACTTCTTGTCTCCGGCCATGCGCTGAGAATATACTATGACATGATATGCTACAAACCACTATGACATACTGTGCGACATCGGAATATACTGTAATATAAGGCATAGAACGTACCTAGAGTATGCAATGATCTACTTTAACATATGTTTTCGTATATGATGACCTAGTATAGCATAGGTTAAGGGCAGCCCAGGCTCCCCTCAACCCGAGTTTTGGCTGATTTCGGAGGCAAAGAAGCCAAAAGCAGAAAGCAAGATTCGGAGGTAAAGGTGCAAAAAGCAAAACAAAAATCAACTTGAGAGTTGGATTTAAGTCTAGACGCCGAAGCTTCTGCGGCTTTTAAAGGCACATAGATTAAACTCCTAACCTTGAACTCTAAGCACTAACCCCTGAACCCTAAATATCCCTACGGGAAGCATAGGGCAGACTAGTTGATGTTTTGTGAGGCGGTGGATCCAGACACGGACGATGCGGCACTGCCCACCAAGGAGGGAGAGTACAGGCCTGGGGGTTTAAAGGGCTTTCTGGCTGCTATGGGGTGTTTATGGCCTTGTTTTGGGGATTTACAGGGCTTCAGGGGGCGTTCTGGTAGTGTTTTGGTTGGGTGCCTGCGGCCCTGAATAGGTTCTTTTTGGGGTGTATAACTGGTTAACGGGGGCTTTGTACATGGGGCTGTCCAAAGAGAAGATCGCCAATGTTTTGGCTAGCAGTGCCACTTCAGCTCAGCTTAACAACGTCAACGCTTACCTACAAACTTGCAGCATGGCTGGTAAGATTTTTTGAGGTTGTTGCGGCATGGCAAACCCTTCCGCAGTGGAAGCTCGTGACGTATCATTCTGATCGAACACCCCGCCCCCTGCAAAAATAAAAACTATACAAGTTAATAAATCCGCGATGATGCCTTTTTGGCCAGATCCAAACCCGGTCGTAAGAAACCCGACAAAACGGAACTTTTCTTTTTCGGTGCTTTTACCGTCCAAAGTGAGAAACATGCGCAGGCAAAGACTGAATATCACTGTAAATAGGACCCCACGTGCGTTGCAGTAGGGACATCTGGCCGTCTCCAGTAAGTTTTTCTGAGCCATGAGGACTTATTTGAATCATTTGCTTGAGTGAAAACCCGGTCCACATTTTTTAAAGGGAAAGCTACCAGGTGGTGCCGAGTCACTTGCAATGCTTTGTAGCAGGTCTTTTGCAGGGTTTTGGCACGAAACAGTTGCCGAAGCGTTGAAATCCGGCTTCGACCTCTTCCTCCTGTCGTTTGAGTACGTATGTCTTTTCCTGGATATCGAAAGCAGCGTCTGTTGTGGCAGCTTTTGAACTGTGTTCTGGGTTCTGGACTTTTGCATTGGTGGCATGCAGTAGCTGTTCTGCGGACTTTAGCAGACTAGTGTGATATCGTCTTCGCTGGCGGCAGATTTGGCGGGGCTTGGGTTGGCTGGGGGTCTGAGTGGGCTTCAGTATTTACAAGGGCAAAGGAGGGTTCAGCAGGTTGTGGGGGTCCAGATTGGCTTGAGTAGAAGGGTTTGGGAGGGCGCGCTAAAGGTTGAGGCTTGGGGGGCAAGATTCTTAGGATTCGGGGTCTAGGGTTCAGGCTTCTTTTGAGAAGTTAGGGTTGTGGGCTTGGGGGTTCAGGGGTGGGGTTTCAGGGCTCCCTTCAGGGTAATTGCTATACAGGGTTTTGAGGCTTCCGGCTCTAGGGCTTCAGGATTCAGGATTGGAGGGTTAAGATTTGGGAGAGTGCCTTAAGACTGACCTTCAGCAGAAAAGCAAAAACAAACTCAGAAATCCGCCGGAAAAAAACACATGATGCATTTCGCCCGAAAGTCTACTGCGTAATGAATAAGCACCGGAGAAGACACATTCAAAAGGTCACCTACTTCTTCTTCGTCTTCGTAGCATTGAGGGTCCAGGGGACGCACGCTTAGCAATGCATTCAAGGTTGAAGCAGTATGCACTCGCCTGGCATAAAACCGAGCGGCGCAGAAATCTCCAGAAGAGGAAGCGTGCCAAGATGGAACCAGCACGTGCAAAAACTGTCTCGGCCACGCACATCTCTAAACAAACGAATCAAGAGCCATCAACGGACAGCCGCTGCCGACATAGATAGGGACGAGCCATACACAATTTCCGATTGCTTGGCATTCGGACTGAGAGCAACAATGCTCCGTAACACTCACAACCTTGAGCCTATTCCTCCAGGGGTATAGGGGAGGCAAACTACGAGGCGCAAACCCCACATGGTTGGTTCAAAAGAACCATGCCTATTCCAACATGCGTGGCATGTACAGTGACAGCGTATGTGCAGATACGCATGAAGAGCAAATTAAAAGCAGCACAAGCTACTCAGGGGGCAATCAGCTCAGCAATATTCCCTGCTGGTGCTGTTTGTTGCACGTGTCCGAGTACTTGGCATCACCTTGGAGATCTCCTTGGCGAAGTCGGTCTTCGCCTTGCCGGCCTCATCCTTTTTGGAGCGGGAGAGGACCTTAAGGTCCTGGACCTTGTATGTTCGTTGGCCTCGCGGGCCTCGTAGTAAGACTTGATGACCTCGGTCATTGTCTTCAGAAGCTCCTCCGGCGCCGTTCAGGTTAACTCTGTGCTCTCAGCCTCGAAGCGGTTCACAGTAGCGTCTTCGCTCACCCGTTGCACAAAGCCCGCCTTGCCGGCTAAGCTTACGCTCTCCGCGGTGTCCTTCGAAAACTTGTGAAGATCCCCGACGGGGGCGCTGTTTGAGGACTCCTTGCCCTTAGCTTTTTCCACGCGAGCCCTCGTGGACATGCAACCGCGGTCAGTATCGCAGTCATTCTCCAGGACGCGTCACTTCAGGCCGAAGTCGTAAGAGACCGCAGCCGCCGTGTTTTTCAGCACGTCGTCGTCGCGATTCCTCTGGTCGGCATCCTTTTTGTAGTCATCTTTCGTGCTGTCGAAGAAGTTCTTGAGGATCAAGGCAAAGAACAGGACCTTCTTTTCTTAAAAGTCCTGGCTGAACTCGTCGCTCTTGAGAAATTTCTTGTTGTCATGGCGTGCCCGCACTTCCCATCTGGGTCATGGCATTAGGGCATTGGGGCCTCGAGGTTCCTGGCTACAGGCGACTCTGGCCGTTCACCTATTTCAATCAAGTGCCGCATTACAAATACTACGTAATTGTGAGCTTCCGGGTTGGTTCAGTTTTCCGTAAAGGTTAGGGTAAAGGTCAGCATGGAAACCATAGGTTGCAAACATCCTATGCCGCCGTGCAAAACTGAAGGCCCTGGCATTCTTGTATGTCAGAAGTCGTTCGAGTGTTCTTTGGTCGTTCGAATGTTGTTGTCAGCTAAAGGGGAGTCGTGCTTTCCAAAAGTTTCAACTTTCGTTCATATCGCAACCTAAACCCTAAACCCTAAACCCTAAAACCCTAAACCCCTAACCACTGAACCCCTAAACCCCAAACCCTAAGCCAAATCAACTGCAGAGACTGAGATTTCGAGCGACAAGAATTGAGAATTGCTGCACTGACCTCGGTTGTTGTTTCACCGGGGCCATGTGCCATCGCGTGCAGTGTGTGGGTTGGCACGAAAGGGTCGCGCTTATGATTGAAAGAGCATGTCGAATCCAACCTTCAGGTCTCGAAATGTTATTTAATGTCATACATGATCCCAAACGCTACATGCACTACGCTGAGATGTGCAGAATCCTTTTCATAGTCAGACCCTTGCCTTAGGCCATGCTACGAGTGTAAGTCAGTTGAGGCGAGGGTCTTGTCGATGGCCCGGGAAGCTTTCGCGCAAAGATTTAGATGTGGACTGCTTTGGTCCTAAGCCTCCCATCCCCATATGCCACACCTTTAGAGCTTGTATCAGTCGGCGAAAAGACGTAGTCCCTGCACCCCAAGAGCTTGGCTAGACAGCAACGTGTGAAATAACAATCGAGATGATTCCTGAGGGCTGCTTACACTAGTGGTGCTACAATGTAAGATAGGGGCCTTAATAATTAGAATAGGTTCTTGGGGCCCATTATACGATAATCATAATACGGAACCACCAATATTTAGGCCCCTACATTACCCCAGAACCGTGTTCGAATCATCAACGCCCCTGTGGTGGGAGATCCGGTTTAGGGTTTAGGGTTTTGAGTTTAGGGCTCAGTGTTCACGGTTCAAGGTTTAGTCTTAGCCTCACCCTTTCTTGCTAATTACGGACAGCCGTAGAAGGTACCAACAAAAAAGCAGCGGAACAATCGAGCGAATAGAGGTTGAGGGTTTATAAATAGCTTACAGCCTGGACCCTGAATACCTAAAGTCTCCATTGTAGTTCTTTTTGGGGGTTACTTTAAAGGATCCTACATATGTATAATATAAGCCACAAAAAAGAGCCATAATGGAGCCTAAAGCTTAACCCTAAACCCTAAAACGCCCAACTCCATCAGACCCTGGAAGGCCATTCACCCGCAAGCTCCCGGAGCTTCTTGGCTTCCTCCAGCAGGGGTTGAGGCTTTTGAGGGTTTAGGAGTTTAGGAGTTTGGGGTTTAGGGGCTCGGGGGTTTAGTAGGGTTTAGGAGTTCAGGGGATTACAGTAGAAGCCCAAAAGTTGGAAACCCAATAGCCTCCATCCTTAAGAGTCATGTATATTGAATCCCAGCACGATTTGTCCTTAATCCGGTTTCCAACTTTTTGGGGTTTACTATAAGCGGATCTGCGGTTGGGGCGCCTGCGCGCCAGGAAGTTGAGAATGTATACATTTGCATTGTAATGTAGGAGCCTTAAACAATTAGAATAGGGTTTTGGGGGTACATTGTATTACAATTATAACAAGGAGCCCCCCAAACCAAAAATAGTATTGGTAATTATTTAGGCCCTTAGTACATATGTATATATACACATATGTAGCGTATATACAAGCTCATGTGTGTATATATATATATATACACACATACACATGCAGTCTGGAAATGTTGGCCTAGGACTTACGGTTGAAGCCTAGTTTACATGGCGTTGGGTTGATGCAGGCATCCAAACCCCAAAACACCAAATCTTTATACTATAGCCTGCATGACCCGTACCTAAAGCCAGGAAAGCTTACAAACCGAAACCCTAAAAGCAACCTAGAGCCTGGCACTGCAATTTCGGATTGCTCTAGGCCGGGGTTCTTCTTTTTCAGTTCGCCGGGTTCAGGGGTTTTAAGGGTTGACGTGGTTAATTTCCTGCGTAATTATGCAGAACAGCCCTGCTCGCAACACTCCCGCTGTCAGGCTGTCAGGCTAGGCGTCTCTGAGCCTTAACTCCAAGCCTGAGCCCTTGCTAGGTGTCTCTGAGTCCGTGAGCTTAACTTCCAAGCCCTAAATCCCTGAACTCTGCATGACAAATTCTCATGGTCGGTGCCTCAAGACTTAAGGACATGGCATGAGAGGGCGTTGTGGCTCTTCTGGGAGGGTTTGTCAGGGTGCTAATTGCAGTTTGCAGGGGTTTCTGAAGATTGCAGAAAGCCTAAACCTAAACCCTAAAAGCTGAGCCCCGGACCATATGGGTAGTTGTCAAAATTATGGTCCCTTTCGGGGTACCCTAAATAATAGGTGCCGTATTATAATAAGGACCCAAAAAGGGACCATAATTTTGACAACCACCCATATAAAAGACCTTCAATCCATAGAGGATCTGCGGAGGCCCTGTTAGTAGTCGCACTCACTTATGTCTTATGACAGAAGACGGACCGCAGAAAAGGCTCTCAGGTGAGGTGTTTATCTTTAACCCTAAGCTCCAGGTGAGGAAGGGTTGACAGGATTCCGGGGGGTCGCAGGCCCTGGCAGATGGCAGTGCTGGGTATCCTCAAGATGGATGCAAACATGTAGCCGCCGAGGCTGTGGCAGCTTTCAGACCTCCCAAGGCATGTCTGGCAAAAAACATGGAGGTGCCTTAGTAGCGGTAACTTGGGCTCTTTTTCGTGCCTTCACATAATGCAAAAATATATATATATATATAGATATAGATAGATAGTTATGTGCATATATGTATAAAAATCATTATGCATTGGATATGAGAGCTTTGAGGTCTCGGATCATCTACCGCGACGGAACACGAAGGTTGATGATGGTTAGTGTCAGGGCTAGTGAGCACGACGGCCGTTACTATTGCGACGACGGCGATGACGACTGCCAGTAAGAACAAGCCAAACGTCAGCCGACTAAGCTCTGGTTAAGTTCCCTAGTAGATCCCAAACCCCAAGCCCTAAACCCGAAAACGGAACCCCGTTGAGGTTTAAGGTCCCAGCGCCACACCGGGACGCAGTTGAGGTTTAAGTTCCCTGAACCCCAAACCCCAAGCCGTATACCCCAAACCGGAACCCTGTTCAGGTTCAAGTTCCCGAAACCGCAAACCCCACGGCCTAAACCCCAAACCGGAACCCCGTTGCCGAGGTTTAAGTTCTGGTGGAGCGGCACGAGGGCGACAGGGGTGGCACTGGCCGGGATCCTCGACAGTCATCTCCCCTTTGCGAGCTGTGGAGCTTTAGGGTTTTAGGTTTAGGGTTTAGGGTTTAGGGTTTTGGAGTTTTAGGGTTTGGGGTTAGGGGGTTGAGGGTTGTAGGGTTTACAGTATAGGGTGGAGCAATAGAGGGACCTAAATAACTACCAACATCTACCAACACGCTTCTGCAGGTTCCTTATTCGAACTATCGTATAGTATATGCCCACACAAGACACAAGGTTGAAATTTTTTCAGGCCCCTAGAATGTGCCCCTGAACCTTATACAATCACCCCTAAACCCTAAACCCTAAACGGGCTGTTGATTTTCAAGCGTTTCTATGGTGGTTGGATGGAGGTAGGGTCTGTAAGTGGTTTAGGGCCCGCAGGGTCTGGGGAAGGCTTTAAGGTAGGGGCATGGATAATTAGAACAGGGCTTTCGGGTATATTATACTATAGTTATAATAAGGCACCACAAAAATCTTTGAGGCCCCCTTTTTTTAGCGTGCCAGTTTAGGGTTTAGGCGTCTGAGATGCTTTGTTATACCATGTGCAGATGCGGTTGGAGGTTTCCTCGGTACCCCAAAGCCGTGAAGGAGTAGCCAGGCTGGAGCACTGCAAACCCCAAACCCTAGACCACATAGCGGCCTCAAGCCGCCCAACATCAGTGCAAACCCGAAACCCTAGCCCTAAACCCTAAACCTTAAACCCCAAACCCTAAACCGTGAACCCCCAAACCCCAAACCCTAAACCTAGACCAGATAAACCCCCGCAAGCCGCCAACAAACAGCGAACGGTAGTTTGAAGCATTCAAAAAGAAGGCCATCTGTACTACCATTGTGGAATTATAAGTTTCCAAAATACCATCCCTATGAAGGTTTTGGCGGACCTCACTCTATAATAACAATAATAATAATCATAACAATAATAATAATATAATATATATATATATATATATATATATGTGTATGGACCAACTTGGAAACAGAAGGCCATGACCTTCCTCTCCATGTTCGACTTGCCAGTGCCCACCTTAGCTGATTTGCATGGACATTAGGGTTGGATAGGGCTTATAGTGCTTGCAGGTTTAGGGCTCAGGGTTTATGTAGTTTGGTTTGGGGTCTATAGGGTTTATGGGGTCTCTAGGATTTTCGGTGGGGGCCCCGAACCCGGCCAAACCCCAAACTCGAAGCCCTAAACCACCGCCCTCAATGCCCCCGAAACATGCGCCAAAGTCCAAAATTCTAAGGTTCCAACTCAAAACTCGATGCCCTTAGTACTTGGGGCTTGAGATATACCAGTCAGGTTTAGGGTGTTAGGGTTTATAGTGTTTAGGGTTACCAGTCTTTGACTCAAAAGCTACATATCTTAAACCGCCTTCCAAACCTAGCCCTCATTCGTCAGGATATGATCTTCAAGACTTGTCTTCAAGACTTGTTATGCTTTATCATGCCCTTGTGAGGGACTCCTCTATATAGGCCCGGTGCAGTCTGGAACTCGATTCGCTGGGGTTTATCCCAGACATCCGAACAGGTCATGACTTGCCCCGGTTTTAGTATAGTTGGCCTTGATGTAGAAGAGACTCGCCGTATGCAGTCCGGTAGCGAAAGAATTGGCATCAGGGCGCCCAATGTACTCTAGCTTTGGTGGGAAATACCGGTAACACAAATTCTGTCCTCGAATGTGCGAAACTTCAAACAAATTGAAAGTCCAAGCTCAAGCGCTCCGTTCGATATCCAGCCCACCGTAGTAGCAGGAATCGTCGAAGTAGCTGCAGTAGACGCAGTCGCAGCAGAGAAAGCAGCAGCAGCCGGAATTGTAGCGGTGGCATCGGCACCAGCAGTGGCGGCAGCGGCAGTCGTAGTGGCACTGGCAGTGGTAATAAGCAGCTGTAGTCATCGTCATCGTCATCGTGGGTCCTCTCGGTCGTGCATGGTTTGTCGCCATCCTCGATCGTCACCCGTCCCTCGTCCCTCCCCGTCCCGCTTCTACGTGCTTATCGTTGACGTAGCAACGGCAGCAGCAGTCGTACTAGCATAAACGCGGATTCTTCACCAATTCCGCAGCCTGTTCTTCGAAACCAGGGACTGAAGTCCTTCATTTGGGAAGCCTTCGCCCAAAACCCTCCGTCACAAGCCTTAGGGTTTGGGTAGGTAGCAGGTTTACCCTGGTCCCTTCAAGTTTCCCAATCCTCTTTCCCACCAACGCACCGAAAATGTAGAGCCAGAAGCGTCACACCCTCTGCCGTCCCAGGTGTATTGGCCAATCCTTTTAGCCTACTTCATATTGCTTCTAGCGACGCCCCGAGTTCTGATGGGGAGGGAGGGTGGGAGCAGGGGAGGGACTTTGCATTCCTTTGGGATTCGATCGGCAGGTGTACATCTACACATGTGCGCGTATACATATGTATACATATATATATACACACATACAGACATATATATATATATATATATGTTTATACACATACATACATACATACATACAGACAGACAGACAGACGGGCAGGCAGACAGACAGACAGACAGACAGACAGACAGACATACAGAGCGCGTATATATATATATATATATACGTATATATATATATATACATGCATACATACACATAGGCTGGGACACAGGTGTATATAGATATGCACGACTCTATACATATATACATATATATATAGGTCTCCATCTATACCTACATACATCTACATCTCTAGAGGGAGGGGGGAGTGATAGAGAGAGAGAAAGAGAATGCGTTTTTTTTTCGGGGGGACTTGGGCACCGGGAGAGTCTTTGTCGGGTTCAGGCCGAAACTCGCAGCTCCACAGCAGGGATGTCCCTGTACCCATAGGCCCCATGGTAGTTCCTTGTGGGGGTTCATATTTAGAATCCTATAAGGTTATCCCAAAAAGGAACTATGGGGCCTATGGGTAGGTTTCAGCAGAGATTGCTAGCCGTAGCAAAAGCATCGGCGTCTGATGGGTCTAGTCATGGAGGGTCTTCTTGAATAAGATAAATCCTGCCCCTAGTTTGTATAGAGTCTTGAGTTTGTCTCCTGCAGACGTTTCGACGAAGTAGTTATAAGTATGTGTTATATATATATACATGCATATGAACTGTATGTATGAGTTCATGTATGCATGTAAGAATGCATGTATGCATCTTTGAATGCATGTATGGATGCATGTGTATGTGTGCATGCACGTATGTGCAGATGTACTGATCTTTGCTGTGTTCTTGTGTGTGTGTGTGCATAAGTATGCACCATAGGCACTGTATGTGCATGTTCTAAGTGGTATAGATGTATGCACATGCGTCTATATTTATGTGTTTGTGTATCTATATACGTAATCATTTATCTATAGTATGTATACTTATATAAACATATATGTATATAATATTTGCATACGCACGCATGTACGTATTTATGCATGTACATGCGCTTGCTTGCATCCAGGTATTTGTGTGCATGTTGTCATACTTATGTATGATGCGCTTCGTCTGTATAGGTACGTTTATCTGTTTTCAGCTGTGATCAACTATGTCTATGTATGCAGATGTGGAAGTAGATGTAGATGTAGATGCGTGGGCGGATTTGTGTGTATATGTGTATGAGAAGGTGTATGTGTATTTTTCGTCACAGCAGGTATGCACGCATGTACGTAAGTATGTTTGCTTGTTTGTCTGTATTTGTGTACACATGACCGGGTGGATGCATGGATGGATGCATAGATGGCTGCATGCATGTGTATGCGTGTACGTACGTATGCATTGGTATATGTGTGTAGGTATGTCTGTTTGTCGCTGTGTATGTATGTATGCATGCATGGATATGTATATGGATGCATCCTGTGCCAATGCTTGTGTCTGTGCATATACATATTCATGTATACACAGGTGCATATATATATATATGTGTACATACGTATATACGGTACAGACCACACTATGTGCCCATGCACAGGCTTTTGCAGGTACGCATGTGTTTGATTTGCCAGGCTTCTTTTGCAGGGTTGTGTACACAGGACCGACCCCAGCATCCCCCCGAAGCTCTTCTCGAATTACTAGGTGCAAGGTTTAGGGGTTTGGGTTTTGAAGGTGTAGGGCTTATAGATACCCACACACAAACCTACAGCAAGCCCCAAGCGTGGATAGCAACATGCTACTTGCGAAGTATTCGGTTTGGTTTCATGGGGTCTACAAGCAGTCTACCTCGAACCCCAAAGCAGTGTTGGGTCGAGAACTTTCATTTATACGGTTCGAGAACCATCACTGGCCCCGGGTCTGGAGTTTGGAGTCAATATAGGGGCCTAAATCCTCAGAATAGGGCTTGGGCTATATTATACTATAGTATAGTTATACTAAGTCCCCTAAACCTTATTCTAATTATTAAAGCCGCTACATTATGAGGTTTTTACATCGAAGAAGTCACATGGCCTTAAATCTGAACCCCCCGGAGCTCTAAACTTAAACCTGATCCCTGCAGCCCCACTTGGAGACAAAAAAGGCACAGCAAACCCTGATATGGGGTTTGGGTTTAGGGTTTAAAGTTTAGGGTTATGGGGTTGGATGGTGTAAGATTTGCGATTAAGGAAGGGACGCATTAAACGCGAAGTTCATCAGTGGACCCCCGTTGTGTGCGCCTTCCTCCTGAGGTACTGACCATGAAAGACCGCGTCAAGCACATGATCAAACATAAGTGGGCCAGGGCTAAATAGGATTGGGGTGTTGGGTTTAGCGCATAGAGTGTTCGGGTTTGGGGTTTACGTGGCGTCTACAGGGCTTAGACTTAGGCCATAGGGATTTTTCAAAAGGTTCCAATTTCAAGAGTTTCGGGTGCAAGGCTTGCGTCGGGGCCTGATCTGAACAACTACCTATGGCCTCCATTGTAGTTCCGTTTGGGGGTTTCCTTATCGGGTTCTTAATATATAAATGGTTAAACCCAAAAAGTACCTACATGGGACGAAACGTAGTGCTGCATAGTTTTGTGTTCAGCAGGCTGTTCGGCAGGTGGTAAGGTTTTGGGTGCAGTAGGGTCGAAGGCTTGGGGCACTTGGCTTTGGAGTACAGTGCTGTTTGATTATTGTGTAGGGTCTAGGGATTTTTCTGAAGCGTATTAACATGACGCATACATATTGATACGCTTGTACGAAGATAACCAATAAAACTTGAGGTGAAATGCATATACACATTGTAACTAGATATGTGGAGATGAAGGCATTACAGTATCAGGCTTGTAGCCTAGAGTTTCGTCCGAGTCCAGGTTGTGCTAACATTTGAGGTACACCTTTGGAGCATTGTTTTGCATCGCAGACTTTGAAAGACCTGGATTGTGGGTGAGATTGATATTCACATCGTTCCAGCCCCAGAATTCGAACTTCAAGCGCAGAGGCTTCCTCGCAGTAGTCGTAGTCGTTGCCGTAGCCGTAGTCGTAGTCGTAGTCGTAGTAGTAGTAGTAGTAGTAGTAGTAGTAGTAGTAGAGTGGTAGTGGTAGTGGTAGTGGTGGAAGTAGTAGTAGTAGTAGTAATAGTAGTAGTAGTAGTAGTAGTAGTAGTAGTAGTAGTATCTGGAGTCGCAGTAGAAGTAGTTCTAGAACTAGAACAAGACGAAGGGCTTCAAGTAGGACTAGAAGCCAACCCAGAAGTAGAACCAGAAGTGGAAACGGGAATGGGAGTACGACTGGAAGTAGGAGTAGGAGTAGTGGTAGGAGTAGGGGGAGAGCAGTAGTAGTGGCTTGCTGCAGCTGAGTAAAGTATGTGTTGGGATGCAGCCCCCCAAAGCCTATCTGAAGTACAAAGGCCTCTCTTTGACGAAACCTGAAATCCCGGAAACCAAGAAAAGGCCTGACTGCTACGCTTCCCGCCTTGACTAAGACGTGCCAGAGCGCTGGACTGGACATGGCGCGCCGGTTCTCACTCCATGAGACGCTTTTGGACGGCCTTCTCAAACAGAGCCGGGAGAATCTGAAGCATCTTCAGTCGGAGCACAGAGCCTCGCATGAGAAGCTGACGACGCTGCAGGCAGGAGTGGATGAGACTAAGACCACAAGTAAGAAGATCGACAACGACTTGCATGTTGTCCGAACAGAAGTGAAGCAACGCCTGGATAGCATGCATGGTGGACAGAAGACGTTCATGGGGCAGACAAATGCGAACTGCCGTGGCATCAATGTGCTAGTGCCTCAGAGTAAGCACAACCAGGACGTGTACTAGACGTGCCTTACATGGCTAGGCCGGGGTACGGTTTCGGGTTTTTGGTTTTGGGGTTTCGGGTTTTCGGCTGATAGAGTTTTGAACTTGTTGGGGCTTTTCTTGGGTTTTTAGGGTTGACACGTTTTAGGGCTTCGAACGTTTATTACTCCAAACAAGCGGTTTTTGATCGACTGTTTTTGTCGGGATACGGACGCCCCAAGAATACACCCTTCAAGAACACGTAAGGAGTCAAGTTGGGAGATTCCAGGAGACCCTGTCCCTGAACCCTAAGCTATAGAAAGCTACCCTTCCACCCAACAAAAAACACACGGTACACATGGCCTCAGTACCTGGCCACATGTCCAGGTACGTGCCTTTCACCTTTGGCAAGCAGACATATGGAGAGCTCTCCAAGGTGAAGGCAGCAGCGGGGGAGTCAGTTTCTGCCATGTGGGTAGTTCTCTAAATTAGGGTCCCTGTTGGGTCCCCATTATAGTACGGCACCCTTTTTCCAGGACCCCCAAAAGGGACCCTAATTTAGAGAGCTACCCATGTGTGTTCTCCTCTGAGCCCTCTTGATCTTCTTTAGCCCCGCCCACCTTCAAGAGCTCCACCCTAAGCCCTAAACCCTAAACCCTAAACCCTAAACCCTAAACCCTAAACCCTACACCCTACACCCTACCCGGCTAGCTCAGCTGATCCCTAGGTGCTTTAAATGGAGCCCTGGCTTTTCTGTCGCAAGCCTTGGAGAATCCTGCAAATCGGATCATGGGTTCGGGGTTTAGGGTTTAATATAGAGGCCTTAATGGTTACCTATACTATTTGGGGGGGGGGGGGGCTCCTTGTTACAATATCGGATCATGGTTTCGGGGTTTAGGGTTTAATATAGAGGCCTTAATGGTTACCTATACTATTTGGGGGGGCTCCTTATTACAATTACAGTAGAATCTACCGCCCCAAAAACGTTATTGAAATTATTCAGGCCCCCACATTTGTCCCAAAACCCTGTGTAGAATTTTGCGAGGGTGTAGGGTTGAGGAAGTTGAGATCCCTTCACAAGAACTCTGCAAACCGGATTATGTGGCAAACCCGCCTGGAAGCTAGCAGCCATATTCCGATCCTCCAAGGGCGGATCGCTAAGCCCTACACCCACAAGATAATATAGGGGCCTTAATGATTAAAGTAGGGTTTTCGGGGTTTCTTATTATAAGCTTATTAAGGCCCCTATAGCAGTTTCTCGTGACACGTCAAACTTCAATCCCAGTCTGACGATCGTGTTGGGCCCATGCACGTCCGCGCTTTTTCTTGAGCCAGGTGCCGGGTGAGAAGAACGACAAGTGATGGCTCAGAGTACAGCTAGGGCAGCTAGTGGTTCGCCCGCAGCAAACCCCTAAACTTTAACGACGTAGGGCTAAACCTTAACTTCAGTCAGCTCATTTAATTAAACCATTCACAAACCTCAACCCGAGGCCTTGAGCCTAGCTCACAACGATAACTCTCGAAACCCAAAGCCCTACACCCTTGAAGCCTCAAGCGTATCCTATAAACCCTAAAACCTTAAGCTTGAAACCCTTAAACCCTCAAGCTTATCCTTCAAACCCTGACCCCTTGAACCCTAGAGTTAGACCCTAAACCCTAAAACACCAAAGCCCTAACCCTAAAACCCTAAACCCCAAAACCCTAAAACCCTAAACCCTAAAGCCCTAAAACCCTACAGCCCTAAAGCCCTAAATTCCTCAACCCTAAAACCCTAAAACCCCAAACCCTAAACCCTAAAACCCTAAAGCCCTAAAGCCATAAACCCTAAACCCTAACGCCCAAGCCCTAAACCCTAAACCCTAAACCCTAAAAGCCTAAAGCTCCTGAAGCCCTAAAGCCCTGACCCCGGGTTTCCCAAAATAGGGGACCCTAATATGGTACCCTAAATAGTAGGATCCCTATTATAAGGACCCCAAAATAAGGTACCCCCCTATTTAAACCCTAAACCCTAAACCCTAAACCCTGAACCCTAAACCCTGAACCCTAAACCCCTAAACCCTAAACCCTAAACCCTAAAACCCTAAATCCCTAAAGCCCTGACCCCTTAAACCCCAAATTTCGGCTTCAGGGAGCCCAGGTCTCTCGGGCTGCTTTTTTCTTGGGGGTCACACGAGGGTAGTTCTCTAAATTCGGGTTTAGGGTTTAGGGTTTAGGGTTTTGGGGTTTAGGGTTTTAGGGTTTAGGGCTTTAGGGTTTTAGGGTTTAGGGAGTTTTTCGTGTGGGTAGTTCTCTAAATT